CCTTTTACCTAGAACATACTGTATGTGATCCATTCACTCATCACAGCCTGTACTTTCCCCAACCCCTGCAGCCAGTCAGACTGGTTCTCTGAGCAGTTTTCTCCTAAAGACAGTTGGAGGTGTCTTTCATGAACAACTTTGACCGAGTTCTATACATTGCGGAGGTGGAAGTTGTTATTCAAAAGGTGACATGGTGTGTCCTCTGTGTGTGACTCATGTGTCCTCTGTTCTTCCTCAACCACAAGAGCCAAAAACATTCATGTTTTAACCTTCACAGTAACTGCGCAAGTACTTTGCCTTGTGGGGACAGTAGTTTCATGTGTTCTTGTGGTAATTGTAATGAACAAGTTACTGTATGAGTCACGGTTATCACCTCGAGCACTGGATGCACCTAAGGAACTATCAGGTTTAGCCAACAAAGTATAAACCAGAATCTGATGAATATTGTGCCAAGTTGCCCAACATGGATGTCTACAAACTCTTGGAGGCTTCAACTCCATTAGCCATTTTCCCTTCCTTCCTGGTGATGATTGGCATGCATCCTCCTACTGTCATACAGTGGACTGATACTTAAATATTGACACTAAGCTAGTTTAATAGTCAGCTGTGATGTATAAAGTATAAACAAACAGCCTAAATACTTTCAATGGGAATAATGATGTTCCAGGTTAATTTCAGTAGAGCTCTGATAACCCAAAGCCTAGGCATTTGTCATGTGAGCTCTGTTAAAACAAAAGAATAGAGTTCAGATTGGCTGCATCTCTTCCTCAGGAGGGATCATTTGACCACAGAAGAAGTAATAAGGTCACCAACACACCAAGGTCCACTTTATCGATCCGTCTTTTATTGTTGTTCAGACAAACATGGTGTCACAAACATTTCGGAACCACGTTTGATCCCTTCATCAGGAAAAACAATGTGACGTGTGCTGGGGACTTCATTACTTCTATTTGCACAGCGCCATCCATTGGCCATTCAGCACCCGTTTGAGTTTTGTACTGTGATATGTTGGTTTGGTGTGCGATGGGACATCTCTAATCATCATGTGACCACAGTCCTTGGCTTTCAGTTTTGTGACAAGCTCTAAAGGGAGACAAAAATTGCAAGAAAGGTATTTCTGCTACTCTATTAAAGTCATATTGACCACACTACTTGACATATATGTGACATATATTTGTAGATTTTAAAGCCCATCTCTGGGCAAAACTTAAACCCATCCCACTCCCCTCTTACCCCTTCAGCGTTTTATTTTATTTAAATGCCTGGTGAAGCAATTCTATACTCATGTAAGTTTGTCGCCCGTATCTCTTGCTGGTGCCATTTCCAGGTGCAGTTGCCTGTGCCAGCTTCTGAAAGCTGTGCCACACTATACAGATGGTGAAATGCGTATTCCCTGTTTTATTAAATAATATAAAGATTACATATACTAGTTGGATTTTTATTTTCATTAGCAATGACATCCAGTAGCACCCATAACACGCCTCTACTCATCTACAGCGCCTCTGCTGCATGACTAAATGATATGTATTTTCTGTTACTGCTATGAAAGAAAAGAGAAGATTTGGGTGTGTAAAAGGGGCATTTATGTAGGTTTTTTTTGCCAGCCAAAAGTAAGACGGGGTGCAGCTCTCCGGAAATTCAGATTTAGATTATATCTAAAGACAAATCTTTTTCAGTTTTTGCATAGAGTGATTAATATCCATATCAGATTTGTATTGATGTCTATGTCCCTTCTAGGGAGATTACCCATGTTTCTTTGTCCTGGCGATCATTATCACCAGGACAGAAAATAATAGAAAATCAGAAATGTTATAGTCTTCACCAAAACAGATGAAGGGTTGAGGGCAACTCTTGCAGTGCTAGCTATCTAAGAAGTGATTTCCCCTCACTTTGGAGAGATTTCCTTTTACCCCCTGTTGTGCCCTGGGCTGGAAGTGAATGGATATCTCTGCAATGGGAGAAAAACAACATTTATGCATGCGGTCCTGTAATATGGTTCTTATCAAGCTTATCACCTTGAGAAGAAATGATCTTGAAAGGTCATAAACTTGCCAAACCCAGGCAGTTGTTCAGCGCCTCTCCTTAAGATGTTTTCCTTAAGTTTACTTAAGACATCTGCTGCAAGCCGGATTGAACGGGAAATGTTGGTAAAGCTGTACGCTTATAATTAGAAACATTTTGTTTTGTTTGACTGATAACAGGTAGACGGCACAGCTCATTCCATGTTTTAACCTATTTCACTCTGTATACCTCAAGCAGAGCAATGGCAGCTACCCTGCATTTTACAGGGAGACAGCTTTATTAGCAGTGTAAGGCCTCATTCACACTGCCGGGCATATACGCGCATATTGTATCATATGCAGCATATGTAAATAAATGGCTCCATACACATATCTGCGTATGGAGCCGGATATTTGCGTAGCGTAAAAATGCGCAAAAACAGAATGGATCAGAGATGCGTCCAGGCAGCGTACCCCCCCATCCACCAAACTTTACACTTGGCGCAATGCAGTCAGGCAAGTACCGTTCTCCTGACTACCGCCAAACCCAGAACCATCCATCGGATTGCCAGACAGAGAAGCGTGATTGGTCATTCCAGAGAACACCTCCACTTCTCTAGAGTCCAGTGGTGGCGTGCTTTACACCACTGCACCCGACGCTTTGCATTGTACTTGGTGATGTAAGGCTTGGATGCAGCTGCTCGGCCATGGAAACCCATTCCATGAAGCTTTCTACGCACTGTTGTTGTGCCAATCTGAAGGCCACACGAAGTTTGGAGGTCTGTAGCTATTGACTCTGCAGACAGTTGGTGGCTTCTGCGTACTGTGCACTTCAGCATGCGCTGACCCCGCTCTGTCATTTTACGTGGCCTACCACTTTGTGGCTGAGTTGCTGTTGTTCCCAGTTGCTTCCACTTTGTTATAATACCACTAACAGGTGACCATGGAATATTTAGTAGCAAGGAAATTTCACGGATGGACTTATTGCACAGGCGGCAACCTATCACGGTACCACGCTTGAATTCACTGAGCTCCTGAGAGCGACCCATTCTTTCACAAATGTTTGTAGAAGCGTCTGAATGCCGAGGTGCTTTATTTTATGTGACCTGTGGCCATGGTGGTGATTGGAACACCTGAATCCAATGATTTGGAGGGGTGTCCAAATACCTTTGTCAATATAGTGTATGTTGCTTAACAATGTATATTTGTTTGATCTGTGTTCATTATTGAAATATAGTTTAACAGTTTAATACCACTTTAACCAAGTGGACCTGTGGCTAATTTCCTCTACATGTGATTGAATGATTGAAGTGAAAATGAGCTGTTTTAGCAAATCAACCTCAATGAATATTAGGACATGCTTTATAATTCCACAGATCCATTGATAACTATTACTTGTATTACAATTGCTGCAACTCAGTCAAATTCTCAGTATTTATAACTTGTGAGGCTTATAATTTGCCAAACCCCACTGGTTCTGGGGACAATCTTTACAAAGCTTTGTGTGAATGCAAAAACTAACTATGCCATACTAGAGCTAAATCTTACTTAGCTGGAGAGTCTAGTTACTGATATTTGCATACATGATTTCAATAATTCTCCAATTATGTTTATATCTAAACATTTGCGTAAGAGGTTTGTGTCATGAGCCATTTGCATGTGGAATTAGGATTAATTGACAGGCTATCATTATCCATACTTTACAAGGGAAAACTTGTTTGTATACAGTGATACTGTGCGCCCTGCACCCTCTAGTGTCCATTTTGCAAGTTGTTTCACCAGCTGGCTGTATGTCTAACAGGATTAGAACGTACATCAAGGCTGGATTTAAAAAAAGAATAATTTAATACATCTCTAGAATACAATCACATTCCCCGTGTTTTATCTCTTTAATCATGCTGCAAGCACAGAAAAATAACTGTTGATGTGCCAGAAATATTGTGTTGCTCTTGCCTTCCTCTTTGACATGACAACACGGCTCTGAATTCCCAAGCAGGTGGTGTCAGCCCTCACTGCTTCATTTATGACGGATTACAAATAAAGCAAACCCCTCCTCATCCTTATAACACCTCCTCATCCTTACAGCACCTCCTCATCTCCATAACCCACTCCTTATACATAGGCAGAGAGCACAGGCAGCTAGAGCAGTCCCGCAGCCTCTTCTCCCCCGGTCTCTGGCGGTGTAAGGACCCATGGCATCATCACATGGAATGAAGGTCTTTTAAACATGAAGATGCAGAGGGACACACCACAGCTGGAGTGGAGGAGGAGAGAGTTGAGTGGTCACTGCCACGGGACTAAATGAATATTCTTTGGCTTCACCCCTACTCAAGGGTTTAATTTCCAAAATCCTGGAGTTGTTCTTTAAGAAAGGAGGAAAACGATGCACGGAGAGGATAGAACTGAAAGGAAATGGTTCATTAAAATTAAAAAGAAAGGAAGGAAGAAAGGAAGGAAGGGAAAGGAAAGGAAGGAAGGAAAGGAAAGAAGGAAAGGAAAGAAGGAAGAGAAAGGAAAGGAAGGTAATAAGGAAGGCAGGAAGGGAAAGGAAAGGGGGGGGAGGAAGGAAAGGAAAGGGGAGGAAGGAAGGAAGGAAGGAATGAGAGAAAAATAAAGTAAGAGGGGGAGAGAGAGAGAGAGAGAGAGAGAGAGAGAGAGAGAGGAGATATGTAAGTATAACCAGCAGATACAAATAAAAGTTGAAGACAATTGGAAGGGAAGGATTTAGGAAAGTGAAGAGTGTATACATGGCAGAGTTTATAGTGTGATATAAATGACATTCCAGTAACAATGTATACCACATCACTCATCATCGATCCCCCGAATACAGATATAGGGATCGGGATCCCAGCGCAGAACCGGCCAGGTGTGTGGCAGGTGGGCGGGGCCATGTACTCCGCACCTGCCGGGACACCGAGCCTTCCCTATAGTGCAGCGCTGCTGCCCCGTACTGAGTCTCTGTGTGCCGGGCGCTGGGCTGATTACCTGGAAGCTGTCGTGCCCATAGCGCTGCCTGGTGCCACCACCTGCACCCACCTTTCACACCAGGACAACACTCAGGTACTGCCATCATCCTTATGTATGTGAGATGTGTGTCCTGACATGACTGAACATAGTTTATTGCTTCCTTGATGCGCTGTGTCCATTATTTTATTGTGATAGCAGAGGGTGGAAGGATTACTGTACTTTCATCTCTTATTATTTCTCAGTGGCGTAGTAGCTTCTACATTTGCATCATGTCTGACTGTACCGAATCCCATGAACAAAGATGTCTTCTATAGCCGGGTACCAGTCCTTACATCTGCAACTTTTCCTTTTTGGGGTTTTGTTTTGTTTTTTGTTAACTTTCATCTGGTGATCCGGCTAGAAATACACTTCCTGTCCTAAAGCGACAACTCAGTTCCTGTACTGTATTGAAGAAGCAGTGTTGTCCACTTAGGACGGAACTCCACTTATCTCTCGCTCTCCTCTCCTCCATAACATAATGGGGAGGTGTCCTGTAGTCCTTAGAGACATCTAGGACAAATACTGATGAGTGTAGCCCAAGCAGAGAGCACAGGTCACACATTTTATTTATTTATTTGCACTTATGGAACAGATGTAATAGAATGCATTGAATGGTATATTGATTGAAGTTCATGGTCAGAGTTGACAGTTTTGATGCTTCCATGCTGCTGAATCCTTCACTTGGAATTGATCTATGATTAAGAACTCTGGTGTGTGGCAGTATTAATAGCTCATCAAGTAATCTGAATCTCTTTAATACCTATAATGACTCCAAACTTATAAATGCTGAAACCTGAAGTCTTTCTATATCACTTATTTAATTGAGCCCCTTGCAAGTCTTAGATGGCATGTAACAATATATACCTCTGCAGACTGTGTCCATAAGGCCACCACATGTAGCCTCTCTACTAATTGGTCACCTTCTTGTAGATACTATATTTATATCGCTTTGTGAATGAAAAGAGAACCAGTCACCATAAGATGATACAACCTCTGATGATGGTAAGGCATTGAGCATGCCATGCAATCACTAGGTCCTAGACCAGAGGTGGGCAACTCCGGCCATCCAGCTGTTGTAAAATTACAAGTCCCAAGAGGCATTGCAAGACTGACAGTTACAGGTATGACCCCCCAGAGGCATGTTGGCATTTGTAGTTAAAGCACAGCTGGAGGGCCAGAGTTGCCCACCCTTATCCTAGAGGGTTAAATTTCCCACTGCACCCCCAATTGCCCACATTCTAAGGATTGTCACTAAATAAACTTGGCCATATGCCTGTGTTCACTGCAGGATGAAGCTGAGTACATCAAAGATGGGTGTTAGCATCTTTGGCACCCGGCACTTATGAAATGATTAAATTAAGGCTTTTCCTCCTCATTAAATACCTAATTTTAGACCCAGTGACATCAACACTAGGTCTTTGTGGTTCTCAATGCAATTTAGGAAGGTCATGGCCATCAGGGTGCTGAACACAGGAAGGTGTGGTGATGCCCACATGTGATTCTGAGCCTCCATGATTGACAAAACTGAAATCCAATGAATGGAAGGGGTGGGCCAGGGACAGTCAGGCTAGGGAAGAAATAGCTACATGATGCTGGACATCCTCCAGCCAGAACATGAGGTGGGTTCTTTCAGACTTTCTGTAGCTTCTAGTGCACATTGTGAGAAGCTCACAGTGTGCAGGGAAATCAGAGCAAATCAGCTTTAAGAAGGGGCTCTTAATTGGGGAACTTGGTATTAACTTAAAGTTACAAGTCCACTTTAAAAAGAGTAGTCTATCCTAATGTTTATAAACGATTTCATCTAAGGTTCCATCAAAAGTGTGTGCAGCAAAAACCTTTTTTTTTTAGTTTAGATAGAGACGGAAGATTAGAAAACGCGTCAGGTGTTACTACTATCCTTTGGAGATAGTAGTAAAAACAGGCACCATAATAGTTGTCATGCTGGCATCGGTTTCACCAGACAGAAAGTGAGAGAAAAATCTCCAAGAGCAACACAAACAGAAATAGAAATCCTTTCTTTCAGTAGAGTAGGGGAAGGCTTAAACCACTGACAGCTTTTAAGGTAGAACTCTGAGCAAACTTTTTCTTAATCATTGCAGTGGGGCTACCCCCTACACTGCAAGGGTTACATGCTCATTTGTGTCTAGTGGCAAAATATAAGTTATACTCACCCGAACAACAAAATTAGTGGGTCGCCCCTACCTTGGCTCCTTGATGTCAGACTCTCCCCCTAATATTATATATACAGACAAAGGGGGTGAACGAAAGGGTTTGTGGAGAGATGTAGATCGACCCATGCGTAAAAATATCTCAAATTTATTGTACATAAAAATGGTTTAGGTGATAACAATCATAAATAACATTATTACATACATTAGTGGATATAATATCCCAATTTTAACCACCATGATTCATCCTTCCTTTGTAGGCAGCCCAGAATACATAAATTAATTTAATAAAATAAAACTCTGATACATATCAGCCATGATTGATTCCAATTGATGCATTCATTGTGTAGTCTCCAAGGTATGTATATCAACATTCATCCCTATGGGTTTCGCCTTTTGGGCTTCTTCAGGGGATTAGATTCATCTATATAGAGTACCTGGAGGTGGGTCGACGTGAGGAGGACCGGGATGAGGTGGGTGGCTAGATCTAGCCCTGCCATCACATACCGTCCATCATCTCTACCGGGACCCCGGGGCCTCAAAGGGAGGAATGCGCTAGGCAGCCTAAGAGAGCCAAACCAAACCCCATTCGGAGCAGTGACCTAATTCTGATCCGAAGTGTATAAAGGTGTGCTGTCCTCAGCTCACAGCTCCAAATGGTGTGCTCTCCACCGATGTCCCCGGGGTCCCGGTAGAGATGATGGACGGTATGTGATGGCAGGGCTAGATCTAGCCACCCACCTCATCCCGGTCCTCCTCACGTCGACCCACCTCCAGGTACTCTATATAGATGAATCTAATCCCCTGAAGAAGCCCAAAAGGCGAAACGTGTAGGGATGAATGTTGATATACATACCTTGGAGACTACACAATGAATGCATCAATTGGAATCAATCATGGCTGATATGTATCAGAGTTTTATTTTATTAAATTAATTTATGTATTCTGGGCTGCCTACAAAGGAAGTATGAATCATGGTGGTTAAAATTGGGATATTATATCCACTAATGTATGTAATAATGTTATTTATGATTGTTATCACCTAAAAC